ATATTGTCCAACAAAATGTATAAATAATCCTTGTAGCAAGGATTCACCCATTTAAGCACTGTAACTACTACTATGCTACTGGCAAACTACACTTTCTTCAGGAAACAAAGCTTGCTTTTTTCAGGATACTCATTCTCCTACAGATGACAAAGGATGCTGTTATATTATCTGTCCATTGCCAAGGACAGCAAGACAAAAAGTATGTATTCAAGTGGTTGTTCAAAAAATTAGACTTACAGTATAATTATCTTGTTCAGCATTTTATTAGAGTAGCAACAAAAATCCATCACAGATTAATCTCAGCAGTGGAATGCACCAAAGAATTACAAAATGCTTCTTTTGAACAAAAATTGTTCTACATTTATCAATAGTACATTTCTCTGCACAATTTCATAGTCATTTTAATAAACAAATGTATAAACCACATGCAGTGTCAGAATGAAATCAGAATTATTCTGCCTAGGTGAAAAAGAAATTCCTTCTAAACCAGTTACTCTTACATGGTTTGTGGGAATTCAGATTTCCAGGATTCAGCTCCCAAATTAAGGAATTCTGGAATTTAAATCACTTTGTCTGGGCCAATTCACTGCTATTTGAAGTATCACTTTATCTCAGTAGTAACAAAAGATTCAGGAGAAAACAAACTCTTATTGAAAAGAAGAAAACATCAAATAAACAATTCTGTCTGAAGAAGAGATAACAAAATACTGAAAGGTCATTTTTAAATTTCACTGCAGTTTGTACCAAACAAAACAACTGTACAAACACGTAGTTAGGAAATGAATAGGCACATGCAGTATTGCTGACAGAACAATTTAACTTTGCACATTCTTGAAATCATATATATTTTTTTCCACGGTGACAATGCTCAGATCTGGGGTTTTTTGGTTGGTTGTTTTGATGTTTTTTAAATAGCTTTATAAAAAACAATGAAGAAAAATTTGTCTACTTCCAAAGGCTAAGTAACCGATCTGAGCCTTTACTGTGTAGCTGGGGAGTTACAGCAGCAGCTCCTGAAGTAGGATCATTCCTTCAGGACATTTTTTTAGAAAGTTGTTTTTGAAGGGATGCTAACGAGACCTGTATCATTTGATTTATGCCATCTACTTCCACAGGAGTGTCATAAACGCCTTCACAATACATTGAAGCTGCTTCAATATCTTTGATATATCCTTAACTTTGACCTCAAAGAGGTCATATGATAATTCGAACCAATGTGTTTTAAATACACCTGACCTTTCTCATCTGGACAATTTACCAACACAGAAGCTTCTGAAATCTCAGTATTTCACAAAGGAAGCAGCATAGCCCAAGAAGCCAGATGCTACAGCATCATCTCTTCTGTTACATTTTGGTTAAAGTTCCAAATAAATGTGCAATAAGAATGCAATCTCTCGCATTAAAGACATTAAGTAAGGATATAGGTATGGATTTCAATACTGGCACCAATCAGACAATTTTTTCAAACTAAATGTGGCAGAGGAATTTACTATCCACAAAATAAGTATATAAAGATAAATAGTTACATTACTGCAGTCAGTAGTTGACATTCAGTCACTTTCACTTCTAGTAAAAGAAGTTTGATATCATTATCAATAAATTTAAAACCACGCAAATTTTTAAATAGACACATGCCCACATGTCTAATTTACAACATCTAGGTACAAGAAAAAAGGTTGATTGCTGCTATAAACAGAAGGGCAAACACAGAAATAGATCTAAAATCACATTAGCGTACCTGACAAAGTTTCATAGTGTTAGCTGTGGGAATCAGTATATAATTAGCGTGGATTTCATAATTAACATCTATAAAGACACAATCACAGCATGTTATGAGTTCAAATCACACCTTAACTAAAATCTGCAATTTTAAATATTGCATTTTTGCACACAATTTTGCAAGCATCATCATTTCTGTTTGCACAAATAAATACCAGAAAAATTTCATTTCATTTGTTATTCCAAGTGATGGTGCATACAAAACCATCTACATAGATTTTAGCCCTTGATGAAACCTCACTAAGAATATGGACTTAAATACCTCACTTGAATATCTGAAACAAGAAAAAACAATTATGGAAGAGAGGCTGAGAAAGCAGAATTGACTTCTGATATTGTCAGTCTATAAAAGCTGTAGCTCAGTCTGTGTTCTGAAAAGTGTTGAGATAAAAGTGTTTATGTTACTGTCATTACATGAATACTGAGCTCAGTCCTTACCCTGGCAGTTTTGCTCCTCTCTGGACAGTCAGGATTCTGTGTAATGCACGCTTTGCCTGATGTGAGTCCTGCCCATCTGCTCACCTTTTAAGAAAAGGAACTAGTTCTACTACCTCTTTAAAAAGTCTGGAAAGCAAAGCCTGCTCTGAAAGGTGCCTGACTGAAAACAGCATGTGAAGAGCAAAAGGATTTTCCGACACTGGTGCCAGCTGTGGCCACTTCTACACCTTCTGCCTCCAGTTCAGATCTGGGGATTTTTCTCTCATCGGCTCCAAGTGGTACTGGCTCACTGACACAAAGCCTTTGCTCAGTCAGATACAGGAGCTTGCTTTGACTTTGAATATGTCTCTTGGCTAAGCAAACATAAATTCCTGTGTAAGGTTCCAGATAATTTAATTTCTCTCTGATAGGTGCTTTGGGGGAAATGTTACACAGGTGGTGGTACCTCTCCTTGACTTGCACTTGTGGTGGCAAACTGTAGCTTTAAGCACACATGAGCAGTAAAGTGCCATAGAACCCTGTCATTTCACATCAAGCTCTATGAAGCAAAAGTTTATTCAAAGTGTATGTCACAGCTATAGAATTCTGTTTATGAGACAACTGCTAGGTACTAACTCAAGAATACATTGGTATCCTTCTCTCTGATTCTTGAACCCCAGCCAACTTTGCTCACTTTGGTGCATGTGCCTTACTCTGTCATTTTAGTTTTTCCTTATTATTTCAAAAGTAGTCTGGATAGCCCCCTTCCAGTCATGTGGGTGTTCAGGTGCCACAGTGCTGGAGCATCTGCACAGAAACAGACCCCACCAGATGTGCCTGGTGGTCTATGCTGCTGAGGCAGACAAGCTGGCAAGCCTCAGCCCCCCATAAATAAGGAAGAGCCACAATGCAGAGGATTTAGGAAAGATTGCAACACAGCCTGCATGGGTTCTGCAGCTGGGTCTGCTCCAGCCAAATCTCTGCCAGCTCGTAGAATTTGGTCAGACCTATACTGCTGATTAAAACCTCCTACTGTTGGTCCCTCCCTTGTCCTTGCCATCACTCTGCCAAGCTAGAAAGTCCCTGTGGAGCTCTTCAAAGTTAAAACAGGAGTTAAAATAAGGGTGCAGACAGAGCAGGATACAGACTGTTCACAGAATCACAGAATCACAGAATGGCTGAGGGACTACAGTGGACCATCTGGTCCAACCTCCCTGCTCAAGTAGGGTCATCCTAGAGCACATAGCACAGGATTTCGTCTGGATGGTTCTGGAATATTTCCAGTGAGAGAGACTCCATAACATCTCTGGGCAATCTATTCACTTTCTTCTTTCCATACAGAGAGTGTTGAATAGAATCTTTTAGATGCAGCAGACACACGTTCACAATTCACAAGTTTAACATTTAAATTGGAGGCCTATCAGGGTATTTTTAGATCTCTTTAAGTTTGCAAATATGGCTGAATGTAAATGAAAGTGATGGGGAACTGGCAGGGTGTGCAAAGTAATAATGGACAGGAAAGCCTTACAGTGCTGGAGGGGCTCTTTCATTCCACTCTGGATAGGTTTTTTACTAGAACAGAAAGGTTTTTTTCAAGTTTCTAAATGTCATATACAAGAGCTGTGCAAAATGTTCATGAAAAACAAGGCGCCTTCCTCAGTTTCTGTTTCTGCTGCACAGAAATGGGAAAATATAATTCTAGCAAGAACAAGAGCTGGTCTAGAGCAAAGCCAAAGCAGTACATGCTGTTTTGTCTGCAGCTCCAGCAGGGAGACTGTGGCCTTAGGCTGCTTATCATGGTTCTGTGTGGGAAGAGCATGGAAGCGACTATGCTGGCAAGTGAGAAGCCATGGTGACTTCTGTTCTGACAATACTTTATGTCCTAAAGTATTCTAATAGATAAACTTTGAGACAAAAAATTTAAAGTTGTCATTTTTCACTGAATTTTCCTCTTTTCCCTAGATATTACCTATATTGAAGCTATAACTGCCTTGCAGTGCTCTTAGGCAAAATTGCTATTGAACCAAGGTAAGAGGAACTGGTGAAAGTCTGTCCAATACTCTTTAATATGTGTCACTTTCTGACAGAATTCAATAGTAGCTGAGACTTACATTTAAAGTGGTACATCTGTAAACTAGATTGCTGAAAAAAACCAAGATATTTAAAAGCTTCTTAATAACTTTTTGTTTATTCCCTGCTGCAAATTCATTCAATGGTCTTCCTATTTCATGCTGCTCAAGGTGAAAATAAACTCAAGAAGAGAAAGATTTTTCACTCTTTGCAATCAGCTACCTGTTATTGAAGTGTACTATGATGCCCACAATTGGATTTGCTCTGATGTGGGATGAGGGAGTCGCTGGCAGGTAATTACTGTTATTGGTGGTTCTGGCTGCTGTTGGACAGGCCCTACTGGTACTGCCCAGTGCAGCCACACAGAAGGGCAGCTCTTCTCCTTGTCTCCCAGATTCACTGGGAGCATCAACCACTGCACCACTCTGCATCCATGGATGTGTCCTAGGAAGCCTTGCTCTTCCTGAGAATGCAGACCACTCTTTGGCCAGTTAAAGAGACAAAGCATTTGGGTATTCCATGGAAGCCAACTCACCCTCCTGAAGTTATATCGTATTAAGTGCTTTGTTCAGTTAGTCTCAGCTGTATATTCTTTTCATTCCCCAAGAGGCTGTTTTTTCTTGTAGGGCAGAGGCAGATGTGTAGAGATATATAGTAACCCTGCAATTCTGTGAGCAGAAATGTCTTTACATTTCATACAGTTCATTAGGAACAAAGCATCCAAAGGTCTTATATGGCTGTGTACAACAGAAGAAGGTGTGCCTCAGGCCTGAAAATGAGGAGAGAAGAAGTAAACTGAAAAAAAAATTTTCATTCTCATACCATCTGCAAAAACAAATAAAAACTAAGCCTCTCTATAGATCATCTATATTTCTAAGTTCTAAAGTATGCAGGTCTACAAACAGCACTTAAGTAGTATTGTGTAAAAAAGCATCATGAAATCAGTAACATGCACCATGATGTAGAAAAGAGCTGGATTAGAGAGAAGTGCTACACATGGGGATGTTACTGCTGGCACGGAAGTGGGTGGCGCTTTCAGCACTCTCAGGACCAGAGTGCTGGTGTGCAGGAGAATCCTGTCTTCTCTTAGCACCAGCTGCATGGTGGCACTGGGCTAGTTAACTCCCAGCTGGAGAGAGGGGGTGAGATGGCAGAAAATGCCTCATTTCCCTCCCTGCAGGCAACCAAAGCATGGCTGGAGGAATCACTGAGCTCAGACATCCATATCACCCTCCTGCCAGAGGTATATGTGAGGCACCATGCCCGAGCACCACTTTCTGATGGTCCACTATTGCCCTCTGCTCCTCAGAAAATAAGGCTTAACTTGTGTGTTTGTCCTTATCCTTCCCCACGCTGCAGATCCTCCACTTCCTATCGTGCTTGGCACGCAGTCCTTTGAAAGCATTCCTTTCCAGACCTGGGCAGTACTTCCTCCCTGCCATGCCCTGCCCTGTTTGGTGCATTACCTGCTACCCTCAGCCTTTCCCAGCCCTCTGCAGTGCTGCCCCAGCTGAAAGCAATCCCAGCACACCCACACGCCCAGCAACATGCTCCAGCTCATGAGGACTCCACACAAAACACTGAAATGTATTAACTGTTACCTCAGATGACAAACATGTATCACCAAGGGACAATTTTGCAGAGGCCAAGTAGGTATTGGTAACAGTAATATCTTCCAGCTCAGTGCTGAAGTGATCCGAATCTTTGATGACGTTATAATTTAGGGCGACACTGTAACTGGCAGGCTTCTTCTGTTTCTGCTGGTAGTTGCAGAGTTTCCTGAAGGCTGCTCTGAATTTCTGGGACATGAGATTGTAAATTACAGGATTGATGGCACTATTTAAATAAATACAGATTCTGCAAAATAGCAGGAACCAGTTTTCTTGGAAAGGCCTGGAGAGAAAGGAATTGACCACAACTAGTGTGCGGTAGGGCATCCATAGGAATGCAAATAGGATCACAACCACAGCCAGCATCTTGGTAACCTGGGGGAACACAGAGGTAGGCAGAAGAGGGCAGAGGGTTAGTACTCACCTTGAAATGAGCATGTGCATTCCTACACCTCTAGAGCCAAAGCAAAACTATGGACAGGCCTTTCAGTGGGAATTTCTAATGAATATTTGATTCAGAAAGTTTTTCTAAAGTAAGAAGGACAAAAATCTTGGTTCTCAATTTTTCCTAGTTTTTGTTAAATTACTCTTTCCAGAGTAATTTAACAATTATCTACAGCCAGATAATTGCTGTAGACCTTAGATTTTTCAGCTTCTCACACATATGTATAGAAGTCAATTTGTTGGTTTTGTTATAGGTATTATGACAAAGAATGTGATGAAGAACAAAGTTACTCGACAAATTGACGTATCTTTATCTATTTGTCTTCAAATGTACATATTCAAAGGCTACAATTTTATCTTATAATTCTCCCTTCACCCTCACTTTTGATTTCATTACAGCTGTGTTCAGTAGAAGTAAAAAATGAAACAGAAATACTATCTCCTTTTCTTGTCACCTGATACATTTAATTATGACTTACAGACTGTTTTTTCTAATTTTCTATTGCACATTGTAATAGAAAAAAATGCAAATATGAATGTCCTAGGTAGCTCAAAGGATGATCTTTCCTTATCTACAAATCACTTCTAAAAGAGCAATTCCTGTGAAAATTGCAGCAAGCAGTGAGGTGACTACTGACTTGCTCTGGCTCAGGAAGTCTCAGGACTCCTCACCTCACCCTTGCTCAGCTTCAGCCTGTGCCTCCAAACTGAGCAAATCCATTCAATGGAGAATAATCATTCATCATGGAAAATAATCCACATCTAAAGGAAGAAAGTAACTATTTGTGGAGCTTGGATGAATAACTGGACTGAGCCCAACTAACAGATGTGTTGCAGCAGGTAAGTCATTCAGTAGATAATAGTCTACACAAGCATCAGAATATTTTACTACCAGAAGCTCTGCAGGGCACTTTGTTACCAATCATTGACAATTTACATTTCTCCTGAGCGTATCTTTAAGGAAAAATTGCTGCTTTCTTGTCCACAGCAAAAATCCTTATTGATATGGATGAGGCTGCACAGAAATAGTCTAGAGGAAATTTTGGTTCACTTTGTTTAGGTAAACTGCCATATCTTTTTTCAAATCACTTCATATGAAATAGAACTAAACATCATTTGGGATGGGGCTAATTGTTTGACATCATGGAGTTCTAAGAGGACAAACTTTTAAACAACATACTTTTTATTACCCACAAGTGTATACACCAAAGCTCTCTGAAAGCAGCAGTATTAGCATTCTCATTCATTGCTCAGGTGAAGGCAAGGATACACTGATTGCTCTTTTCTTGTGGATGTGCATTGCATATCCTACACGCAGAGTACAAATTATTCCTAGTTAGGGAGATTGAAAACATGATTAAAAGGCTTTGAGCAAATCTAGCTTAGTGCAAATTTCAAGTATATTTTGAATGGCAACGAAGTGCTTGAGACTGAATATGGTGCTGGTTGCATACATTCTTCAAACCCTATCTTTTTATTTCTGAGAATGTTCTAAAAGTATTTAAAATGTATTTTACTGAATAGATTCCCAATATTTTAATTCTGAACTAGTATTCTCCTTTTCTTTCCTGCTCCAAACCCTTGTTATTCTAAGGAAGTGTTTTTATTAGACATTTTCATTACTGGTACTCAGAGTTTGGTAGTTGTTTCCTTCTCCTTTGAACACTGATCTTTCTTACATTGATAAGCAAAGGTGATAATCACTCTGGTGTTTTAAAGGCATGTACTAATATCTTTCTTGTGCTTGGTGGTGTTCCTTGCAATGCACAGAGATTGCATATCCTAGTCCATGGTTTTGTAATAAAAAGGAAGTTATGCAATGAAGAGAAGGATTAAATAAATAGAAGGATTAAGGTCTTGATAGACTAACACCACGAGTGAAACCAAATTATAAGATTGGGGATTTCATGTAAGCCTTTCAAAACTTATCTTGCATTGCAAGCTGAAATCTGTGCTTGCTCTGCTGTGACAGAACAGAGAGATTTCTCAGGGGAGCAGGTCATCGCAGACTGCACCTGTCTAAGACAGGACTTTCTCTAGAGGGTAATCTGCCTGTTATAACTGACCATGATGGCCATGATGACCTTAGATGATTTGATTGGACTAAGCAACTAACTCTGTAAGACACGAATAATGTTAAGTGAGCTGGATCCCACCTTAAGTACAAACAACATGTTTGCTATCTAAGGCTGTATTTATTTTTCACGGTCCCCTTGATACCTGAGGAAACTAGGAATTCCTTTGGGGACAGTATGAAATCTACCTGTAAATATGTAATTAAGTGTTCATATTATTTGAGATCTGTGGGCTGAGCTATGTGGGATAATGTGGAAGTGTGGGAGAGCTCAACACAGCCAGCACCAAGAGCTGATCTGGAGGACCAGGTACATGAGGAGCATGTGCAAAAGGGAAAAGGAAGCACACAGCTCAGATTGTGATTCCTTGAGCACATCAGCCAGAGAATGTATGGACTCTTAGCTGCTATAAAAAGACCACTTGTCTTCCCACCTGCTTCCCATGTCCTCTTGCTCTCTTTTAAAAGATAATGAGCTGTTTGCCAAGGTAGTTCAAGAACAGATACTCCTAGAAAAAAAGGATTTCATTTTCCTCACATTTTCAAAGTTTTCTTGTATGTCAGTAAAATCCTTTTTATACCCTTCAGTTTTATGTTCTCTCTCTCTTGTCTTCCTTGTGACAAAGCCTGGGTCTTCAGGACATTTTCTTGATTCTGAGTAGAACAAAATTATTCAGATTTTTCAGAAGAAAAAACATGAAAATTTTAGAAATGCTGAGAGATCCTAGTACTTGTGCTGCTAGAAGAAAAGAAACACTGTTAGCAAATTTAAGCACCCCCCCAAAAAACATAGCTTTTGTCCCTCGTACTCTATGCTGTAAAAAGACATTTAATATTGGTTGCTGTTACTTGTTAGGGAACCTTTGTTCTATTGCAAATTTTGCTCCGAATACTTTGAATAACACATTTTCTATTAATGAACTGACACCTTGCTTTCCCTCTTGACTCCTATTCAGTGCTGGAATTATGTCTGTTTACATCAGAGACTGAAAATATCCTTTCTAATGAAATTGAACATGGTCCATCCATTCACCTTCAGGAATAGAACCTCACTCCCCACTGTTCATGTATATATATATATGTGTGTGTGTGTGTGTGCGTATATATATATATATATAATGTTTTATACATATGCCGAGCTTCCGACCCCTTCTTGCCTCAGCTTTGGTAGCTGCCCTCCACAGTTGTAAGGAAATGGTTATTTTATTCTATATTTTCTTCTTCCTTGAGCATAGAGCTATTCTAGGTGCCATATCAGGGTTGTTCCTCCATTGACCTGCTCTTTCCATTGGTGCTTTGTGTGAGGAAGCATCCTAGGTTTTGAATTCAGGATGTTTTCCAAGCTGGACTTTGCATTTTTAGTCCTTCAGCTCCTAATTCTGGACTAACTCTCATACTAGCAACATAAGTAATGTATTGTCGTTTTTGGAGAAAACAAATGAAATTGCACAACAGTATGACTCACAATAGAAAGTATTGACTGTTTAATCCTTGGAAGCAGACATAGAAACACAAATATGCTATATGCTATATATATATATATATATGCTATATGCTATATATGTTAGCTATATGTTAAGGCAATAAAAAGTTAAAAGGTTAAAAAGAAAAAGGTCTAAAAAACAACTGGACAATAGAGTCTATCTCTGTCATAAGTTGGAAACAGCTTCAGATAGTGCTCTTCAGCTCAAACACTGTATGACAAGGAGAAAATGCTTTCCTACCCTGGTCAAAAAGTTTTGACCTTTTTTACCAATGGACCACTTTCCAAACATAGATGATACAGTGGAAAGTGCCATGAAAACTAAAGAAAATTATATGACTTGGCAGTTGGGTCATGCTTAATCCAGATTAGTCAAGCAATCCAGGTCAGACTAAGGGGGGGAATGACTTTACATACTGCCATGTTGGATTAATCATCATAAAAAATGGTTATGAAACTCCTTAATTAAACCTTCATGAGGATTGAAGAAACCTTTCTAACTTACTGTTTAATTCTGTTGTATTATATGTGTAAGTTCATAGTAGGTTAATTATAATTATAATTAAAACAATACTACTAATAATAATAAGTAGTAGTATTAGTAATAATTATAAGCATTCAACAGAACTGTACTGAATTTCCATGTCCAAGTTTTACAGTAGCAGGTTGGAGGGGTGGCCTCTCTGATAAGAAACCAGAGACTGCCCCGAGCTGGACACAAACAGTTCCATCCAGCTCCAACAGATCCATCAGGACACAGCTGAGCCCATCAGCAAAGCTGGTGATGCCTCTGCAAAAACATGTTTAAGGAATGGCAAAAATGCTAGAAAAAAGAGAAAGAGGGGATAAGAGAACAAAAGAATGAGAAACAGCAGGGGAACACCAAAGTCGGAGGAGGAGGTGCCCTTTGGCAAGGCTGGCACTACCTGAAGGGACTGCAGCCAGTGGAGGAACCACACTGGAACAGTAAAAGAGTGAGAAGGAAAGAGTGACAAGAGACCAACCTCTGCAACCTGACTGTAATACTCCCTGGCCCCACACTGCTGGTTGCTTCAGGGAAGGGACTGAGTGTAACTTGTGACTGTAACAGTGTGCAATAAATTGGCAATATTCATTTTCCCCAAGTCAACTCTACATTGCCTATAACAATAACTGATAGTTTGTCTGCCTGTTCTTTTCTCCCCATCCTCAGGAGGAGCCAGGCCACCACAGAAACCTGCGCAAATTTAATTTTGTAGAAATGTTCTTGGATAAATACGAGAACTGCCACAGAAGTAGAAAGCGTACACCACATTTTCAGTCACATTTTCTCCAGATCATATGCTGGGCATTGTATACAACTCAATCCCTGTAATGCAAGGATAGTTCTGAAAAGACAGACAGTTTCACATGACAGCAGGACTCACTGTGAGGCCAAACTATACTGTCAGCTACACCTGCCTTTGCCAGCGCAGCAGGAAATTTTCACTTGTGTGTCTTACTAACTCCTGAGGTGCTAGAGTTTTTTGAATGTGGACTTGTGTTTTCTCATTTTACACCACTAGCTGTCTTTTTCATGCTGCTATTATATAAAAAATATTACTAATAATGCCACACTATCCTTGCTTTGCTTCCCATGTTGTACTGAATGTAAATGCAGGCTTTACTCATAATGAGGCTACTTTAAGCAATCAGGTTACTTAGGCTTTTAGAAAAAGTCTTGCTGTCTTTACAAGACATAAAAGATATCATACTATAATCTTCACCTTTTGGTTTCATAATAAAGCAGTATCCATATTCAGCAGTTTTCAACGTAAAAGATTTGTCTGTTTTTCAAGTGATGCTAAGCACACGTAATCAGGCATATGTACTGAAGTGATATTGAGAACTTGAAGATCAGATTATCTTCTTCTACTAATTAATTAAAGAAAAACAACATTAAACAGTTCTTATCTGACTATTAACTATAATTGGCAACATAATTAAATATAACCTAGCCCACAAGTTTCTGCAGTGCATTTAAAAATAAGGCTCTAGTGCTCTGCAAGTGCTCGGTGCTCTAGCAGGAGCTCAGTTAACTTTCGAGGTCCATGCCGTCTCTGTAATAAGAAAATGTGGGCCCTCTCATTAAACAGTAGCAACCTACATAAAATAAGAAGAATATAAAGTTCAACCCGTCACCCAAGGGGGGCATTCAGGTTGTCTGAGCAGGCGCACAGCTCAGTTTTGCTTCCTGAGGGAGCTGTACAGTGTAGGGAAGCAGAAGCTTGGGGAAGCAACCCACTGGGGTGCTATGCAGGGGCAAGAGCCAAGCCACTCAGCACGGAGCACTGCTTGCCAATGCTCACATCAGGCTGCCTGCTCCCAAGAGCCAGCTGTGAAGGATGCACCCTGTGTTTCTCAGCATTGCAGCAGCTGTGCTACTTGCTGCATGCTGTGCGAGTATGAGGCAGTGTGATTTACTGCAAATAGCCAGGCATCAATCTACTAACTATATTCTACTGGTATTAGGACACAGGTCAGCATACATATTTAACAATATAAAAAGAAGCTAGTCAAACCTATACACCAGTTTTGAGCCATCAATACATAAAAAGAGAGACAGAGTAACAAAGATATTTAGCATTTACAAAGCACTTTTATATACAGATTTCCTTAAATAGACTTTTTGCAGGAGAGTTAGAGACAAAAAAAGTGGCAACATGATTGTGTTTGCTGAGTGACATGCTACCTCAGCTGGGACCAAACCTCAAGTCTCCCAAACTCCCAGGCTAGATCCTACTCTTCAGATCCCAAAAATTACTCAAAAGTCACTCTATATTTGGCAAGACTACTAACAGGCTGTTAATAAAGAAACTATAGTTAAAAATATTTCATTCATAATTGATGTTTCCTAAATGCTTTTTAATATGAGAAATAAAATACTATTTCTTTTTTGGTCCTTGCAGTAGGCAATAATGAATAGGCAAGAAAAAATACATATTTATATGTATGTGTATACATATCACAGAGTTTCAACTTGACTAGTTAACAAAGAGGGAGAACATATTTTACCTCTTTCCACAGCTTCAGAACAGTGAATTCTAAAACAAGTACACTTTACATTTCAGAAAGACATTTCAAACTGCTGTTCCTACCTGCCTTCGAGAAGCAATAGTGCTATTGAAACTTCTGTTAGTCATCTTGGAATTCACAGGCTTGCTTTGGTGAACCACATCATTCCTCCATGTCTTAGAGTTTTCTTTTGGGTCCGAAGGCATGGGGTTCAGGAACAGTATTCTAGCAATCAGGCCATAGAGCACAGTTGCCAATACCATTGGCACAACATAAAATATACCAAAGTCCATCATGTAGATAGGAGAGTAATAGCTCCTGGACACCTTGTAGCCACAGGACACAACAGTAGTCTCTTTGTAGGCTACCGTATTAATGTCCAGCAAGAAAAACCAGAGCATACAGTATATGGAGGTGAAAGCCCAGACAAAAATAATGATCTTTTTGGCTCTTGAAAAAGTGCACAGGAATTGGGCTTTGATTGGGTGGCAGATGGCTATGTATCTCTCAATGGTGAAGGCAGCAATGGAAAAAGAAGAAGCATTGATGCCTAGATACTGGAAATAAGTGATGCAGAGACACCCCACGTAGCCATACACCCAGGATCTATACAGGCTTTCTGTGATATTGGGTAGTCCTGCAGCCACAAGCACCATGAGATCTGCCACAGCCAGACTCACCAGGTAGCAGTTAGTGGGAGTTCTCATGTGCTTGGTTCTGAGGACCACCAAAACCACCATGATGTTGCCCACAATGCCCAGTCCACAGATAAGGAGAACCAAAAGGATGGTAACCACTTGGTATTCAACTGTAATGATCTCCTGGCTTGATAGTGGCAGCACAGTTTGGTTCTGCTTGTCCCCTGTGCCATTCTCCATCTTCACCAGCCCACTGCTGCTTCTGCCCAGCACTCGATCTCAGCACCTGTTCTCCATGGTCATGCAAAAGGGTGAGTGGAGCAGAGTGTGGGTGATCTGCAGCTCCAAAGCACATTCTCCATGTAGTCACAGTCCCATTCCTGTGTCATCCTCCACTCCCCCGAAAGCACCTGGACTTTCAGTCTTTGTAAATTCAACTACCAGGCGGGTTAATCCCTCTAAGACTCCAGCTCATTTGCACAGGTTAAAAGGATGTTTTCTCATAGCCGATTTGAGGCATTCATGAAATCGAGCGTGTGGAGGTGGGAGTTTCCTCCCTGCAGCGGCAGGGAAAGCAGAGCCCTCCTGCACCGCCAGCTGCTAAACACCGCACAGGGTTGAGCTGATCAAGCCCGGGCAGACCAGCATCACCGCTTGCCAGGAGGAGTCACAAAGCGCCGAGGGTGGAGACAGCAGCAGGACGTGAAAAGAGAGGGATTTGTAAAGGTTTTCTGCTTCACACAGCCTCTGTTCTCAGATGGCTATCTCACATATTGATCATATTGATCCATGCTGGCAGACAAAGGAGAGATGACAGGCAATAAAATTACACCAGTTTCTAAAATTCTAACTTCCTCGTGTCCCTGTCTTTGTGAAAGTAATGGTAATTTACATTTGCCTCCTACTTTGCAGGGGTCTGTAAGAGTCACTTCAGGGCTTAGAAAGAAACATATCCCAGCTTTTGAAAATTACAGGGAAAAAAATGTGGTTTATAGACAATTCTCTTCAAAACCTCTATTGCTATTGCTGTCATCACTCCCAAGCCCTTTCCTCTCTTTTCTGAATTGTAGCAAAGCAACAATAAAACTATTACAGCACAAATGGCTTCTTAATGAGATCAGTCACACACACGTGCATGTGCACACACACACACACACACTCCCCACCATTTCCTTAAGGAAGAGTCTCCTCTGGTTGAATTAACTCCTTCATGATAAATCAGGTTGTGAAAAACCACAGATGAATCAAAGACTGGTGGAAATAACTGCTTTGAGCCACGCAAATGAAGCCTTACCGATGCAGTAACCCAGCTGCACCTGGAGATGAATGCAGGTCTTTCCTGTCTCATTTGCTAGCAACCTAAATGCCTCAGTGAATGAAACAACAGCAAACTTTCTGCAGGGCTCTGTGAAAGTGCCCTTGTCAACTCCCCACCGCAGCCCCTCAACTCGTAGTTTCTCCTTATGCTATTGCATTAAAAGGTTAAAGAGTAAATTTGCCTTAAAATCCACCTTCTTTTTTTTCCAGTTAGGGCAAGAGCTTTTGCTCTTTGCTCAGGAAGGGTTCAACAAAATACAGTGTTGCACAACTGAGGAAGGGCAACTTGGATTTCAGAACAGTTTTTAGTGTTAAGAGAGAAGGATTAGCACAGGCATCTGGTGTAAAATTAGGATTTTTAAATAGACTGAAATGACAGGTGGTGACAAAAAGACAGTATCACCCGAAACAGAGAAGGAAAACAGACTCAAACAATTCCAGAGGTTTGAAGCTACTCAGTAAAGTTTTCTAGTCTTTTTTTTTTTCCATTTGCCTGTTCACATTTCAGTCATAATCATATGCTTATCTGTAGACCCAAAAGTATTTAGCAAAGTAAAGCAAATATTGTTATTCCTGTTTAACAGATGAAGAAACATGGGTGAAAAGAATCAGATTTTTTGGCCTTGCAGTGGCCTATGGGAAAACACAGGATGCTGCTTGCTTGACCAACAGTTTATCAGCAGAAGTGTATCATGGGTCTCATCTTGATTCTCCTCTATACAATCTGCAGAACCTGTTATTTTGCACACAGCTGAAAGAGAAAGAAGGTCAGCACTGCTGTAATGCCTGGATGTCATAGCAAGGATTCCTCCCAACCCCTTCAAACTCCACAACATTTTATCCTTCAAACTGGACAGATTACCTCTTAGCAATCCATGCTTTTAAAGCTGTGTGACTATAGTGGGGATAGCTACAGATGTTCAACCCCATAGAATAAAATACACCATGAGGTAGCCCAGTAGTGAAAGATCACAGAGTTAGTGTCAGCATTCAGGGATCAGGGATCCTGCAGGGATCAAACCCATCAGGACACTGAACCGAAGTTCAAAACAAGAAACTGAGTTAAATGGCACCCTGGATAAACCCCTTAATCCTCAGGGACCTCAGCTGAATTGGAAAGTTCTGACACCTCCTTAGACTGATTTATCTTTCAGGGGTGACTGACACCTTTTTGCCACACTGTCTTACCACGAATGCTTGTTCCTCATGCTTCTGCATATTCTGCTAACTTTTGTAGTCAATTTGGATAATCTAAGTTGAGGCTAACACATCTGAGAGTATGTAAGCATTTGTTATGCACGAAGACATGGCTGAGGGCATGGGATGCAGAGAAGCTGTGGAATACTTAACAGATCATGTGACTTTGAAGTGAATATCAGAGGTCTGGAAGATGGGCAAGAGCATAGTATCTGATGCTTGCCGCATTCCTCTGCACCTGCTACTGGTCTGCGTCAGAGATGGGATAGACCATCTTGTCTCAGTCACTTTTTATGTCTTTTTATCAAGTGTTACACTCTGGTAGTGACAAAAGTATAGAATTGTCACTGTATGGCTATAGGGGAGTAAATCTATAGGAGGCATTCAGAGGATTTTGACAGTATTAACATCCTATATGAAATATTTCCCTTTTCTTTCCATGCAGTACTTCTCCAACCTTTAATGTTTCTGTAAAACCTGCAGTAATTGCAGAAGGAATTTCAAGACTGGATAAATGTGTTCTGTGTAATAAAAGCACCTGGTGCTGTGTACTTCACTGAAACATGATGCAAGTTGCCTGATATGTTCAAATTATATAAAGTGATCATCAGTCAGAGGTCAGATACCGAATCTTGGAATCAACTTTTTTCTCCCCATTAACGCTGTGTTAATGCAACAGTCAAAATATACTGGCTAGTTTCAAAAGCAGTTCAGCATGAAATACATGCTGAATACATGCAAGCCCAGCAGCTCTGCCAGGGAAATTTTGACAGCAGATGGACTGTAGATCACTGTGAAGCTTTTACTGCATATCTGTTACCCCATTTTATACCCATACCTGTTGGTCCAGGCATCAGTTGACATTGCATGTACTAATGAGGACAGATGCAGTCAGCAAGTCAACAACAATAACTAGAAAAACAAGACCTGGAATTGTGCTGACTTTTGCTAGTACATTTTTGTTGGTACAACTCCTTGGGTAGGAGGGAGAGGGGAAGGCATCATGTTGACACCACCTGTGCTGCGTACCACTTAACCAACAGCATTTGTGCCCAATTTTTTTTCCCATTTGTCTCAATTAAAATGTATCTCTGCTCACTTGAGCAGACATACTCACAACAAACACATAACAAACTGTCTCATAACCCTAAGCACAAACTGAGATGGAACATTGAATCACTGTAAACAGTTTACCCGATAGTTACAAATTATTCTTAATTCTGTTTCTCTAACTCAGATCACTTCCCCAGCTGGCATTTTCTGTTTCAAAAAATGACTCTGCAATTTCATACTCTATTACCTGCCTGTACTCAGGGTTCATGAAAAATCACAATGAAGTTGGATTCTTTACTCTGCGTCCACCTCTGATGAATTGCTGAGCGCTTAGTGCTGTACAAATGTTTCCATGGCTGCAGTTTGTAGAGAACAAAAGCCACCATCAGTAATTGTTTCAGTATCATCTGAAGGCTGGCTTTTAAAGATGGTATCGAGCTACTGGCATGATCAGCTCCAAATGTGTTTGGGATTTACACTGGATGGTTAAATAATGTAGCAACTGTGGTGAACTAGAATTTATCCTCCTACATCTGCTGCACCACATGGCTGTGTTTTTGTGCTGATGTAGTGAGCCAGTGGATAAGTGTTTGGTTTGTGGGAGAAATCTGCACCTGGAAAAGCCTTTCATGAGTAAAGATTGTGAGGAGACCAGACACCTTTTCTGTGAGATAAATCTCATTACCCAAGACAGTGATCCTTCTTTCTAAATATTTTTTTGTTGCCTGTCACTGGAGAACACTGAAGTACTGCTAAAATCATGAGTGGATTTTCCAAAAATGCCTAAATAGTTTAGGACTTATTATGAGTTGGAGACTCTTCCACTCTTACGTATACTTGACAAATTCTATTGATTTAGGGGCTTTTAATCTCCACGAGAGTGCAAATCCTGTCTCAAAGGTGAGTTTTACTGTATTATATTTCTTTTCTTTCAATCTTCATCTTGGACTGGTGTTGGCTCAAGGCAAATAATAAGGAATTGTAACTTAATTGTTCTGAAAAAACAAGAAAACTAAAAAAAAATGGATTTAAGCAATCAGTTGGCTCACATGGGAAATTTGGTTCATCTCTTGCCTGTCAGCAAGGTCACTGGACCAAACCACTGGTTTGTTGAGACGGAACTGGGATCATGTGGCAAAGGTGGCTGGAAGGATTTTGAGGTCTACCCTTTTCTTCTACCAACTCAGGTGGAGATAAACTGTACAAGAGCCTGATGAAGGAGCAGGAACTTTGCCAGAATAAATATAGAATGATCACTCAAAAAACATTTAGAGAGGAAAACTGCTTTTATGATTTTATTATTTGGTGAATTATTTGCATTCACTTGGATTTGCCTCTTAAAGCACGATCAGCTAAGTCAAAATCACCACAGAAAAGCGATCTGAAGAAAGAAGGGGTGTAGTTCAATAGGGACAAACACAAAGTGGTACACTTTGGTGGGGGCAAGCAGGTACACAAAACTGATGGGGAATAACTGGAAGAGGAACAATTCTATAGAAGCAGCTCATCTGATCCCAAGACATGCATCCATCAGAATGAAGGGCTAACAAGAAGCTGGTGTGAAATCAAACTTTCTTCTGGAGTGTATCAGCAGGAGCATCTCCAACACGATGTATGAGCTCATCCCTCACTGGACTGTGTCCAGTTTTGGGTGACACCTTTTGAAATGTGGATACAACTTGGAAGAGATAGAGGAAAGATCTATCTATGACAGGAGGACCCATAGAAAAACATGAACAAATGTATGTCACCTACCCTTCACAAGAAAAGGCTGAGGCTGCAAAATAAAAATGACTGATCTGCTTTCCACATCCATGATGGAAATAATAATCTG